TCTTTTTAAAGAAAAATTTTCATCAATCCTCTCTTTATACAAAATTTGCGATCAGTTCTCTAATTATAGAAAATATCGACCAATTATTTCTATACAAAATTGGCGATCAATTTTCTATTTAAACACAATTTGTGATCTATTATCGATTTATACAAAATTCATGATCAATTTTATATTTAGGGCAAATTTACGATCAATTTACGATCTTTATAAAAAAATTGTGATTAGTTTTCTATTTCTACAAAATTTGCGATCAATTCTCTATTTTTAAGAAAATTTCGAATCAATTTCCTCTTCATTTCTACAAAATATTGATCAATTCATTAGAAAACTTTTATGTTTACAAGTTTTTTTTTTTTGATTTTTAATTCCAATATTTCTCAAAAATCTATGATTTCTCTTAATTTTTTTTTACAACGGAAGTGAAAATTCCATTAATAACAACCAACCTCTTCTCTACATTCTTAAAATAAATTTACAAAAGTAATAAAAAACTGAAAAAAAAAATTATTTTTGTAAATTTTTTGTAGTAATATGTATAAATTTAAAACTTTATGAAGAAGACTATAGAGAGAGTATGTGCACGCAAAAAACACTATATCTCAACGCCAACAGATCCATAAAAAATTATAGCTTTTTTTCGGTCTTCAAATCTATCTGCCCACATGCGCCACAACTGAACTGAGCGTATTTTTAACATAAAATGTTGTAAAAATACGAATATTTTACAAAAAATTGCTCAAAAAAGCTAAAAAAATATAAAAAACAAATAAATAAACCAAACACGCACAAACACTCACGCAAAATCTACAAAAAAAAAAACGTATTAATGAATGAAATACAACTTTGTTGATTATTTTTTTAAAAAAGTTTTTTGTTTTTGTGGAATTCATTCATAAAATTTTGTTTGCACTATAGTAATCGTATGTGCAAAAAATCAATGAATGAATTTAAAAAAAAAATATTCAATGAATTAAAATGTTTAAATATTTAACGTTAAACTATAACACATCAAAACACATGCTGTTCATGCGATTGCATTTTAAAGGAGAAAATTTTCAATTAAATAAAAAATTCGTTTAAATGCAGAACTTGTAAAATTTTTAATAAATCTATACAAAGTCTTCCCATAACAAAATTTATGCAAAATCACTTTTACAATAAAATTTGCCATTTTTGTCTTCATTTTTCTACATTTATAAACATTTAAAAGTCATAAATAAATCTGCAACAAAAACAAATACATTTTGCCCGTATTTATAATAGAGTTAATAAAATTAATTAACTTTTATATTTATTTCCAATTAATTTAACAATCCCATTAAGTTTTTATATTTATAAATATTTTTTTCTATAGTTGTTGCTTTAATCTATGGCTGTAAAACCAAATTATTATTTGTTAATTAATTTTTATTGGTATAACGATTTAAGTTAGCTCATAAAAACAAATTAATATCCAGATTATAACAATAGAAAAAACTAATAAAAATATTATGGATTTAAATGTCTAACAAAAGAATTAATAAAAAAAAAACACACATGACCATTCAAATTTAAACACATAATTAGTTTTAGTGCAAAAACCAGAGAGAGATAATTAATTTTAAAATCATTTGTCTTTAATCTTTTGATCTTTTGTTCACAAAAAAGGCGACAAAATCTTTGAAAGCGTTTTATTTAATGGATTCAAAATAGTTAAAGATTAATAGAAACGGAGAAGGGTGTTCACAAATGAGATGTTAGTTACATAGTTCAGTTTTTATTCTGATCTAGTTCAGTTCTAGTTCAGTTCTAATTCAGTTCTAGTTCAGTTCTAGTTCAGTTCTAGTTCAGTTCTAGTTCAGTTCTAGTTCAGTTCTAGTTCAGTTCTAGTTCAGTTCTAGTTCAGTTCTAGTTCAGTTCTAGTTCAGTTCTAGTTCAGTTCTAGTTCAGTTCTAGTTCAGTTCTAGTTCAGTTCTAGTTCAGTTCTAGTTCAGTTCTAGTTCAGTTCTAGTTCAGTTCTAGTTCAGTTCTAGTTCAGTTCTAGTTCAGTTCTAGTTCAGTTCTAGTTCAGTTCTAGTTCAGTTCTAGTTCAGTTCTAGTTCAGTTCTAGCTCAGTTCTAGCTCAGTCCTAGTTCAGTTCTAGTTCAGTTCTAGTTCAGTTCTAGTTCAGTTCTAGTTCAGTTCTAGTCAGTTCTAGTTCAGTTCTAGTTCAGTTCTAGTTCAGTTCTAGTTCAGTTCTAGTTCAGTTCTAGTTCAGTTCTAGTTCAGTTCTAGTTCAGTTCTAGTTCAGTTCTAGTTCAGTTCTAGTTCAGTTCTAGTTCAGTTCTAGTTCAGTTCTAGTTCAGTTCTAGTTCAGTTCTAGTTCAGTTCAGTTCTAGTTCAGTTCTAGTTCAGTTCTAGTTCAGTTCTAGTTCAGTTCAGTTCTAGTTCAGTTCTAGTTCAGTTCTAGTTCAGTTCTAGTTCAGTTCTAGTTCAGTTCTAGTTCAGTTCTAGTTCAGTTCTAGTTCAGTTCTAGTTCAGTTCTAGTTCAGTTCTAGTTCAGTTCTAGTTCAGTTCTAGTTCAGTTCTAGTTCAGTTCTAGTTCAGTTCTAGTTCAGTTCTAGTTCAGTTCTAGTTCAGTTCTAGTTCAGTTCTAGTTCAGTTCTAGTTCAGTTCTAGTTCAGTTCTAGTTCAGTTCTAGTTCAGTTCTGGCTCAGTTCGAGTTCAGTTCTAGTTCAGTTCTAGTTCAGTTCTAGTGCAGTTCTAGCTCAGTTCTAGTTCAGTTCTAGTTCAATTCTGGCTCAGTTTTAGTTCAGTTCTAGTGCAGTTCTAGTTCAGTTCTAGTTCAGTTCTAGTTCTAGTTCAGTTCTAGTTCAGTTCTAGTTCAGTTCTAGTTCAGTTCTATTTCAGTTCTAGTTCAGTTCTAGTTCAGTTATATTTCAGTTTTAGTTCGTTGATGCTCTATTGTTTTGCAAAATCAACTTAATTTACAGATTTTTTAATCTAATCCCCATTGTTAATAAGTACAATTTGTATTTTAAACGCAATTAAACTACCATGCTGAAACCCATACCTTAATATTATTGACTCTTCAATTATGTACCAATTAGTTTATCAACAACGGTGACAACTCATTTCAAATTATTGTCACTTAAGGTGAGAAATATTAATTGAAAAGCAACCAAACAATATCGTTAACAAATTAATTTATGGGAAAACGATACAAACACTAAAATAAACTACAAATCAATGATTATAACGATTATAACAAGAGTCATGAAAAACAAACGCACTCTAAATTAAGTCATTTAAAAATATCTGTTAAATTAGAAAGATTAACTCAAGCTTAAACCCACGTTTCTAATATTTCGACCATTTAGATTTTAAAAGTGTTTATTCGACTGTTCAATGATCTAATGAATCAATGAACGAATCTATTGAAAATTAATTCAATAATAACACGCCCACCTCATTATTATTATTATTAAATATTAACCATTTGTTTGTTTATTTGCTTATTAACGTCATTTAGTGTTTTGATATTTTAATCATCACCTCTATACATGATGATTATTTTGTATTAATAATCGTGATTGTTTTTTATAATTATTAACGACACGATCATCATCAATTTCATATTGATTTATGTTTCTATTTCAATTTTTTTTTTTTTTTTCTTATTTTCTGTGAGTGTGATTATAATTTAAATGTCATTTATATTAGTTGTTTTGATTCAATTTTAACACTCTACTTTTGATCGCATTTTGTGTTTGGAATAATAAATTTGTATTTAATTAAACGTTTTATATTCGTTCTAGGTGACAATCTATGACCAATTCTTGGAATTAGTCATAATAGAAATTCATACTTATTTGCATGGTAAATTGTTGTTTGTTTGCAATACGTATTTGAAATTTTCAATTTCTCTTCGTGTGAATTTAAAAAGTGAGTTTGTTTTTAGGGAATATTTAGTACTTCTGTTTAAAATTCGTTTGTAGTAGTTTTTTCTTAATAAATCATGGTATTCTTTTTATTGAAATGGTCTTATTCTGCGCAGTAGTTTAATTTTATAGATCCGTATCATTTTATTATTTTCAAAATTTTTTAAAAAATATAAAGTTTAATCGAACTTTAACAAGAACTGAACTAGAACTGAACTAGAACTGAACTAGAACTGAACTAGAACTGAACTAGAACTGAACTAGAACTGAACTAGAACTGAACTAGAACTGAACTAGAACTGAACTAGAACTGAACTAGAACTGAACTAGAACTGAACTAGAACTGAACTAGAACTGAACTAGAACTGAACTAGAACTGAACTAGAACTGAACTAGAACTGAACTAGAACTGAACTAGAACTGAACTAGAACTAGAAACTAGAACTAGAACTGAACTAGAACTGAACTAGAACTGAACTAGAACTGAACTAGAACTGAACTAGAACTGAACTAGAACTGAACTAGAACTGAACTAGAACTGAACTAGAACTGAACTAGAACTGAACTAGAACTGAACTAGAACTGAACTAGAACTGAACTAGAACTGAACTAGAACTGAACTAGAACTGAACGAGACTGAACTAGACCTACTAGAACTGACTAGAACTGAACTAGAACCTGAACTATCACTAACTAGAACTGTAACTAGACTGAACTAGACTGAACTAGACTGAACTAGACTGAACTAGAACTGAACAGCAAACTGAACTAGAAACTGAACAAGAACTGAACTATAACTGAACAGAAACTCACCTATAGCCTAGTTGTTTGTTGGTCCTCAAAAATACATTCTGACCCGTTAGTTGCAATTAAGTAGTTGTCCTATCTATATTGTTATCGGCCATGATTATGAATGTGGTTCAAAATTCCATTCTGCACCTAATAACATTTAAATTGAGTTTCAATAAACATATTTTATATTTTCTCTAATTTATCACATCGCACACACAAAATTTTCTGAAATTTGCTAAATTTATTTCTAAATTTCTCTATAAATTTAAAAAATTTATTTTTTCTTTTTTAGCCATAAATACTCACCAAAATTATTATCAAATGTGTTTTAACGGCAAATTATAAATTTCAATAATTGTCATGAAATATTTATGAAAACATAAAATTTAATTTATAAGTGATTTAAGAGAGAATTAAAGAAAACGAACATTTTTATTTTAAAGATCACACAACTAGATTTCAAAAGGGGTCTGTTGAATGTGGCGCCATGTATACACAATAATTTTTTTTTTTTTTTCTTTATTTATTTACACTAAACATTTTCATATATTTATTTATTTGTTATTATTTTTTTATTTATTTATTTAATTTTTTTCAAACACACAGAAAAATGATCATTATTTAATACTCTAATAGATTTCGGAGACAGACACCGGCACAAATATCCACTCACATAGAATATAAAACCGCAAAAATAAATCGCACTAGTGTTGTTGCTATTGTTGTTGTTGAAAAATATCATTAAATACAGATTTTCAGATTTTTAGCTTTTATTTACTATTTCAATATTTTTTATTGTTATTAATATTTATTTAATGTTGTTGTTTATGCCGATCTCTTTTTTTTTTTCAACAACAAAAAAAAAGGTAGACGACAGACAGACGGACGTGTTTTCTAGATATTTATTCTAGATAGATGGATGGATGAATGGATGGATGGTTGGTTGTTTGTTTGTTGAGATGGATAGACAGCAACAGAAACTGAACCATACAAATGGCCAATAATTGTATTATACAGTAAATTAAAGTTCTGTTCTGTTGAACGAAATTATTATGATTCACAACGACAGACGGCAGCAGCAAACAAAAGCGACGGCGACAGACGTACAAACAACGCGAAAATTATTACCTTTTTTCATTGAAAAATTTTTAGCTAAATTATGAATTTTAAAACTGTTTAAAATAAGCTATTTAAATTGTACAAATTTTATTTTTTCTTTAAATTAATTATACAATTAATTTTCACAAATTTTTTTAATATTTTTTTGAAATTTTATTCATTACTTTGCAATTTCTAGCGGAATTCCTTAAAAACGTCTTTCAATTTTCACGTGGTCTCTAGAAATTGAAGAAAATTGTTTTTTTTTTACTTCTTAGTATTTTCATTTATCTTTGTCTATAAATATTTTTTGTTTTCAACACAATACTTTTCCGAATTTTTGTTTAAAAACTACTAATAACGCGCCACGATGTTATCCATTGGATATACAAACTCAAACTGAGTAAATATCGTAAAAAGCTGCAGAATTTAAAAGAGCTGTTTTGAACAGCACTTCGTATTTTGTGTGATTTTGTTGCTGTTGTTGGTTGGTGGCTGCCTGACTGACTGGCTCCCCATTTACGATCGTTATGATCGTTTCAGTTTTTTTTTTTTTTGTAATGTGTATGTGCTCCTAAAGCAAAGAAACGATAGATTAAGGTACAGTGGGTGAAAAGATGTTAAAAACGAAACAAATATTAGATTCCGAATACGTACCGATATGGACTGTCATATCAAAAACAGACAGAAACCCAGAGGTTGTAGGTCACAATGTAGAAATGTGGTTCGTATCGAGATGTCAATTTCTTTCGAAAATTTTAAATCGTGAACAAGAATAATAGATTTGTCAAAGAAATAAGTTCACCAGATATTTTCAACTTTGATTCACTCCTATGAAATATAAAATCTTAGGATCTATTTACAAGAGCTCGAACCTTAAACATTTTATAGATTATTTAAACTCTTAAGAAACTGGACAAACATTATCATGGAAAAGGTTACTCCAATTTTATTCGAAAATCATCATCAAGCCCTAAAAATTTTATAGAACCTTAACTTGATGACAAACTTCGACCTTAGCCTAAGGCAGTACACAAACCGATATGAACCGATAGTACCGAAACAGACAAAAACCGACAGATTTAGATCACAACGAAGAAATGTGGTTCGAATCAATATGTCTATAATTCGCCGTAATTTGAATTCAGTAAACAATAAATAACTGATTTCTCAAAGTCCACCAGATATTTTCAACCTTGACTTACTCCTATTGAATATAAAAATATTGGGATCTATTTACAAGAGCTCTTAAGACATTTGACTTCCACAAACATCTTAGAAAAGAGGACTTAAATTTTATTATAAAATCATCTTAAACCCTTAAAATTTTCTAAAACCTTAACTTGATGTCTATTTCGGAAGAACTTGTGATACAACTTTGGCCTTCAGGATCTAATTGAACTAGGAGTTCAAAGACTATAGGCATAACCGTTTGTGCTCTGTCTAGGCTTTGAGTCATACTGAGCAACCAAGACTTTGAAATCTTTTTAAAAAAGAGTCATACTTGTTCAGACTTTAACTTTCGGATTTTTTCTGAATGTATATACTATTTACAAGATCCAACTATACAAAAAGTTTAAAGTTTTTACTGATTAGGCCTGGGAACGTCAAAAACAAAACTTCAAAATCCACCAAAATCATCTTCAGCAATTTTAGATTAATGGCTTCTTTTTATCGGATATGAAAACCACTCCAGGTTCTCTAGTTAGCAAAGATTCCACATTCAATTCCTGCTTGGGACGAAATCATAATTTCTCGTACATATTCCTTGATATTGGGTGAAAAAATAATTATCAACAGAAAGTTGTATAATGGAATTCAGCCGAATCTATACCTCACGATCATTGATCATTGTTTAACTTTAGCTGGATTTAGGTTCATTTAAAGTTCAACCTTCCGGATTCGTGCCATTATCCCGTAGTGGATATTCTGTATTACAAACATAGGACTTTGAAATAAAAAAACATTTATTTCAATTCAAGATCTCGATCCCGATCTTATATGCCGTATATACTTAATTAACGCTTCAAATGAGATAATAGTGAAAATCTGTGATCACTCATATTTCTCATCAAAAAAACTATAAACTAAAAGCTACAATCTACGGTAGAGTCTAAAATAATAATTTTTTATCACTCATATTTCCCAACAAAAATCTATATTAATATGATAAACCTAATATCAACCGCAGATCCCAAAGTAAAATTCTAATTCAGCATGATCCACACCTTAGGATTGTTGTTCATAGTTAAGTTTCAGTGGACTTTATGCGGCTAAATGCAGAGGTTAAAATTTAACCTTTTGGATTCATGTTATTATGGAAGCAGTAGTGGATATTCAGATTGACAAACATAAGACTTTTAAATAAATAAAAAACATTTCTTCCAATTCAAGATCGAACAGATCTGATAAGCTTTATAACTTCAATAACGCTTCAATTGAGAAAATAGTATAAATTTTATCACTAATATTTCCTATCACAAATCTATATAAAAATTTGATATCAACCGTATATACTTATATGAAGCTCTAATTGAGAGAATTGTGAAAATATGTGATCACTCCTATTTCCCACCAAAAAACCGATTTGTATATGAAAAACCTAAGATCGTCGTAGATCCTTAAATTACTTATATTTCCCACTTATAAGATCGAATCGATCTTACTGAAAAGTGCGTTATAATCAAAATAACTATTTCCTAAATAGACATTTATGATTCAATCTCTTAACCCACTGTGCAATATTGATTTAATAGCTTTTATTTAGTTTGGCGCTTCATAATATGAATGATCATTATTTACACACAAACACACAAGAGACAATTAAATGCCGGTAAAAAAAAAACTGATTGTATTAAATTTCCAACTCAAACTCTCTGATCAAAAAATGAAAACAAGTAAACACACAAAGTTGTTTTTAATTGATCATTTTAAGCAAAATAACTCAATTCATTCATAATTTTCATATTATTAAGAAAATATTGAGTTATTTTCAGCATTCGCTCACTCTATTTGCTGATCTAACAATTACATTTGTCATTTTGAAACTCTTTGAGTTTTTAATTTGTATACATATTTTCTTAATAACAAAAAGGAAAGTATTCTTACTTTTTCTTACAATATACATAGATGCAAGATATAAAGAAAACGTGCTGATAGTTTTTTTGTATTTTTTTTTTTTTTCATTTCTAAACGATCAATTGATGAGAAATGATGTGCGTAACATTTCATTAGTTTGTGTTTGTCTTCTCATGTTTTTCTTATTTTTTTTTTTTTTTATAATCAAAATTAATGTCAATTTATATTAAAGTCTGACACTGGCGCTAACATTGTGTTCGTGTTACGTGAACAACTACTGACTACATGATGTTGCTGTTTGTTTTGTGTTGTTGTCTTGTCATTGCTGACGCTGACACTGTTGCCGCTGTTATCGTTGTTGTTGTTGTCATTGTTCGAACATGTTTGTAGTATTCAATTAATTTCTTCCTCTGTGCTGTTCTGTGTTGTTTTTTGTTATTTTTATCTTTTCAATTGATTTTTTTTCTATTGTATTCCCTTCATAATGGTTAATGGGTTGGGTTGGATGATTGAAGATCTAGTATATTTGTCATTGAGCTTGTAACGTTAGACTTATTTGTAATAGGAACTAAATTGTGATCGCAACTTTAGTTAAATTTTTGTAATTGCTTTAGTCTAGAGCAACTTTTTTTTTACAAAAACTTACTCTAAACAGGAGCAACTTTTTCTATAAAAAACTTGCCCAAGTCAAGAGAAACTTTTTCTGTAATAACTTGCTTTAGACCAGAGCTACTTTTTCAAAAAAAAAAAACTCCTTTAGTTTAAAACTTGCTCTAGTCTAGAGCAATTTTTTCTATAAAAAACTTTATCTAGATTGGAACAACTTTTTCAAAAAAAGCTGCCTTCCTCTAGTCAAGATAAATTTCTAATCAAAAGCAACGTTTTCTATGGAAACTTGCTCTAGTCTAGAGCAACTTTTTCTATAAAAACTTGCTCTAATCTAGAGCAACTTTTTCTATAAAAACTTGTTCTAGTCCAGAGCAACTTTTTCTATAAAAACTTGCTCTAGTCTAGAACAACTTTTTTTATAAAAACTTGCTCTAGTCTAGAGCAACTTTTTCTATAAAAACTTGCTCTAGTCTAGGGCAACTTTTTCTATAAAAACTTGCTCTAGGCTAGAACAACTTTTTCTATAAAAACTTGCCCTAGTCTAGAGCAACTTTTTCTCTTCTATAAAAACTTGCTCTAGTCTAGAGCAACTTTATCAATAAAAACTTGCTCTAGTTTAGAGCAACTTTTTCTATAAAAACTTGCTCTAGTCTAAAGCAACTTTTCTATAAAAACTTGATCTAATCTAGAAGAACTTTTTCTATAAAAACTTGCTCTAGTCTAGAGCAACTTTTTCAATAAAAACTTCCTCTAGTCTATAAAACTTTATTTTTGCTTCATAGTATTCTCCAAGTCCACAATTTGCCAATTCTCATTATTTTAGTAAATCCACCCATAAAACCCCTTGAAAATGTTAATGACTTCTCCTTGTAAATCGTACAACATTCAAGTAACAATTAAAAATTGTTTGCTAATGCCAAGGTCATATAAATAATTGTTGGTTTATTGGTAAAATGGACAAATATTCAAGATTCCCGTTTAAATTAAAACCACAAAAATGAATGACTTCTTAATTTTTATGACAACTTATTTAACAAACTTACATAAATACACAATACACATTTTAAAAATGATCTTAATTTCTAAGAATTCCTTTTTGAGACACTGCAGTCTGCAGAGCAACAACTACATAATACTACATGCAACAAAAAAAAAAACAATAATAAAAATTTCAAGCAAACAATTTACAAGTCGTCGTTGTCATCATGATCATTGTCATATGCATACATACAGATATACATATGTACATATTTACAATGTACACAAAACCAATGACCTTAAAGATCATGTCTTATTTGTAGGAAAGCAACAAAGACTGATGATGTTGCTACTGGTAACATTGGCAGCTGCTGAAGAATACTTTTGTTGCTGTTTGTTGGTGGCAGTCAATGCTCATGTTGCAAGCATCGTCACCACAAACAACAAGAAAGAAACACAGCCACACAGTGACAACAACAATGTAATGAATCGCATCATTAGCGTAGTTGTCTGTTATTGTTGTTGTTGTTGCTGCTGCTGTTGTCACTACAACAACAAGAGCAACTATTATTATCATAGTGCCTGAAATGCTGTGAAAATTGTTGTTGTCATTGTCGTGTTGTCGGGTTTATTTTTAAAACACACAATTTTTTCCCCCTTTTTTTATCCAGCACAAAAAAGACGCCGACGCCAGTTGGCGGCAAATTGTGGCGACACGTCTGGAGCGTGC